TGGTATCTAGATGGCACCACTTCCAGGGTCTGGAGATAGATAGTGGTATCAAGTACATAGAGGGAGATTAAGTCAAGTCGTGAGTCGGCTAAAACGTGTCTCTATGTATATTCTTTAGTTTATAAGTGTATTCTGTTTTATATTTTATTTCTGTGTTGTGTGAATATTTTATATAGAGTTTTCGTGCGTATTTAAATATATATGTGTTATTTTTGTTTGTTAACATTTAATAGAGTTTTTTTGTGTATTAATTTATATATATATATAAATTAAATAATAGTATTGCGTCTTCGCTCTGTTCCTGTAATTGCCTGTTTGCATTTTCCCACATATATATATGTAATATATGCTCTATTTATACTATAATTTCATTCAATAATTGATTAATTATATTATTAGATTGAATAAGAAATATGAAATTCATATTTCTAAATACTTTTAACGTATAAAACTAAACTATTCGACTATATTTTAAGTGAGTAGACATTATCAACTATGAATCTTGTCCACTAAATTTTTGTATTCTGAATTAGGAATATCACAGTCTGTTATAATCATATCAGTGCGTACAATTTTCTTCGTAAAAGAAAAAATCAAAAACAATAAATATAATTTGAAATTAAATATTTAGTTATATCCAAATCAGATAGGATAAGAAACAAACATATAAAAGGGAGTATAAGTCTAGCGTCAATTGTGGATAAGATAAGAAAAAATAGACATAAATGGTTTAGTTATGTTATGAGAAGAAAAAAATCAGAAGCTGACTCTCAAACTGTATTTCTATCATTAAAAAAATAAGTTATTTCATCACCTCCACAAAAAAAAATTAAAATATTTATTTGTTTATTTTGATAAGAATGATTATTACCCGAGAAATAATTATGATATAATAGCACTTTAATTTACTAAATTACTAAAGTTAGTTGAAGTCCCGTCACTGGGTGACCACTCTACAAGTTATTGTTTTTTTTCAAAATTACTTGTATATAATAATAATTTATCATAAGTATTTATTGTATATTTTATATAAATTGTGACCTTTTCTACAATAAAAAAATAATTACCAGCGAAAAAAAACAAACACAAACTCAACAAGACTGGATAACTCTGTAAAATAATAAAAACATAATTACAATCAGAATGACTAATTATAACGTAACAATGTACCGACCATTTTTATTTTTTGCCTTTTTTTTCGATGCTATACTTCCACAATTTTCTTCAAATAAATGTCATACCAAAAATAATTGTCTTTATAAAAGCTTCTTATGAACAAATATTAATAAGTAAACATTAAAATTGAATTATTTAGTCACTACAATATATAAATATACAGAGTGACTATTGAACTATGACATACGAAATATTTTTTCATATATTATTTTTGTTTTCAAAATTATTTTTTTAAAGTCATAGCACATAAGATATTAATAATTTCTGAGAAGAAAATATGATTTTATGTTTATACTTTTAAAGATATTTCGTAAGTCATTATTAAAGAATCGCTATATACCATATATTAGTAATGATTCGGTTTAACATGTCTACACTAGTTAAAAAAAAATAAATTAAAATCAAAATATAGTAAATTATCTATTATATATACAATTTAAGTGATTGATTTATCAATAGATTTTATATCTATTTAACAGGTTTTTGAACAATCGACTCATAAAATGGCTTTCTGTATTTAAACTACCACTATTACTTCAATTTTTGTAATTATAACAAAATTTGCAGTTCACACTTGCTATTATCAGTATTATCGATAGTAAATAGAAAATTTCGTGATTCGTCCATGTTTTACACAAATATACATTTTTATTTATTTCCACATAGTGTACAAAAATGTTATAGTCCGAGTTAAAAGGATCTGCATCAAAATTCCATTTACGGATTAATTTACTATTTAGGTATAATGGAGTTATCTAATTTAATACAACTATCATTATCTCAAAACTGGTTTTTATAAATCAATTTATAATTTTCTGCTCGGTTACATTTCTCTAAGATTCATCAGACATTATTATTGCATCGATTATACATACAACGAGTTATCGTAACTCAAAAATTAATATTAATGAAATGAATAGTAAAAAGAAATAGAATTGTGAGAGTTTATTGTTGAGAGAATTAAAGTAAGAGTTAGTATGATAGTGAGAATTACTTTTGATTCGAGGGTCATAAAATAACTATATAAATATTATTATGGATTTTAAAAAAAATTACCTGATAATTTTCTTTCTCAGTTGTTATAATGACTTCAGTGATAATATTAATAAATGAAAAATAAAATAACATAAATTCAAGTTTTAGTTCACAAATTAACCACGTAAGAACTTTGACATTGATGATTGTAATATCCACGTAACGATATCTAGAGAACAAAATGAACAGGAGGGAATAAGGGTTTGCTTTGCCTTTTTATAATATATTTTTACCCCCAAGAAATTATTGTCTAATTCCAATAGTGTAACTGTTTACTGATAAATAAGCATAAAATACAGATATTATTGCAGATGAATAGAATATATAAATCATATTGACATTGTTTAGTAATGTCAATATAGTTTTTAACACATAATATTAGGGTTGATACAATATATTTAATTATTATAATTAGAACAAAAATAATATACAGATTTCTTTTTGGAAGGAAGGATTTTAAAAGTGACTATTAATTGATTTATGATTGAATGGTGTATATTACAATGTAACTAAACACTATGAGTTTGTTGACTATTTCTCTTAAATGTTTATTTAAATTTTTTGATAGAAGAGGATTATGTCCTTCTAAGAATATAATGTATAAATATCCCATGTTATGGAAGTGACGAATATATTACGACACAGTGTTTCATTATTTTTGATATTATCTACTAATTAATTAATTATTATTTCTTCATAAAATATTTATAATGTTCATTTAGTAGTAAAAAATGTAACTTAGTTAAACTTAATTCAATATCGTAGTTATGAGAAGATCAGTTAACATATTTTGTACAATAAATCATTAAGTTGCATGCATAGAGTGATATTTTACTTTTACAACAAAACGAATACACAACTACTGCCTCTCAAGCCGCCATAGAACTTATAGCTAAAAAACGCTAAGATGGCGGTGACAATACAGATATAGAGAGAAGATCGACAACTTGATGTAGCACTACGATATCATAAGTAATCACAACACACAATTCCTCGACGGCATATTGATATGTATTTAACAATCATTAATCCTTATTATATCATTAATCCATTAAATTTTTAGCAAAATGTTACGAAAAAATTTGGAATGATATAGACTGGTAGTAGCACACACAAATAGGGTTCGAAAATTAATAAATTACAAAGTAAAATTATTGACTTTTGTAGTTGAATACTTTTATCATATCAAACCTAATTCGAAAATAAATAATTTGAAAATATTAGAAATGAATGATTTTACTTGCTTATATAGATAAAGCTGATTAAGCTACTTTTTATACGAACAAAGGATTTTTTTTCAATTTTTGAAGGTAATATCTTCAGCTAAATACGAATTGTAAGTATTTGAAGTATCGTTGTAAAAAGTAGGTTAAGTGAATATTGGAAAAATAAATCACGGCCACAAAAATAAACACATTGTAAAATAATATTAACATAAATAAGAAATTTCATATCACGAGGGGAGACTATAGTGATGGGATCCTTGATATTTATTGAAGTTATTGAATATAAATGAGATAAAAATCAAATGATTTGAAGATTTTTTTCTAACTTAAATAAAATGCAAACTATTATTTGCCATAGGCGGTTTCGAACCTCGTACCCTAAGCATGAAAGATACAGGTGTAACCAATTCGGCAAATATTCGTCGCTTTCATCACATGATAAAATTAGCAATTTATGCTAATTCAAATTTAAAAATTACTTTTTCGACTTTAAAAATGTAAACAATTTTAAATAAGTTTAATTTCTTATGTCTTCTGAACTTTATTTTATGACAATTAAATTATGAAATATTCAAAAAAGTCAGTGTATTCTACTTGTAAGATATTTTAAAATAAAATAAAATACAAAACCTAGAATTTTAACACAAAAATAGCATATTTTTGAATGCAGTAGCCATTTTCACTAAGAAGAAAGTCTATATTTCGAATTTTATTTTTTTCATAGTAAAGTATGTACAATAAGCTTTAATTTAAGATTTAATATAACTGTAAATATTTCAGGATTATTTTCAAAATTTATGTTGAAAAAGTTCTACTTTTTATACATATGTTTCAAGTTTAAAACCCCCCTGTACAAAGGGAAATGGTCCAATTTAAAAAAAAAATTGTCAAATGAAATAAGTAAATATAAAGTAGTTATGAAAAAAAAATTGTATTGATACATACAGATTTCACAAAGTTATAGTAATTTAATGTTGAAAATTTAAAATCGAAAATTTTAACATAAAAGTAGCATTTTTAACTACATCAGCCANCAGATTTCACAAAGTTATAGTAATTTAATGTTGAAAATTTAAAATCGAAAATTTTAACATAAAAGTAGCATTTTTAACTACATCAGCCATTTGCACGTAGAAGATAAGGGACAAATTTTTTTTTTTCATTTTATAGTACATGACATAAACTTTAATTTTATATATGTT